TCAGATTTGTCAAATCTAATCATGGAAAAGATTAAGTAGCAGAGAAGCAGCATCACTTATCCAAGAGAGAACAGGATAATAAGCAGAATATTTGGAGGACTAGCAATATGGTGAGACTTTAGTTTTGCAAGAAAACACTATGCACAATCTAGTAGGTCATGTTCGATGGAAAGTCAAGGTACGTATAATCAAGATATTTTTTTTTCAATGATGATGACTTGGTAAGTATCACTTGCCCCCGTGATGATGCCCTTGTAAATGTGGGAGATATAGCAAACTTTGAAGTGTATATGGCATTGTCGTCAATGTATTTGTAAGCATTATGTCCTAGGTTCAATCGATTTTGGATGTGAACACTTTTAATATGATTTATGCATTTTATTTATGATAGATATATTATTTAATTAAATTATTATTTTGATAAATTAAATTAATAGAGTTCTTAGTAACTTGTTAATCAACAAAAGTTACGATTGTGAGAAACCAGTGTTCTAAAAAGCGCGCCTAGGCTAGAAGCATGATGAAAACGCGTCACCTTGAACCTAAGCGGGAACTAAGTGGTCAACGACAATGTTGACCCCTTAATGCGCGCCTAAGAACGCCTAGGCGCGCTTTGGGACGCCTAGGCGCATCTTCACCTCATGCCCAGATTTCAAGGAGACCCAATTTTTTTCCTTTTTCAAAAAAAAAAAAAAAAAGACCCACATCCCAGAGCCCAAGTAGCCCATTATACAACTTCAAAAACTCCCCTTTCTAAGAAGTCAAGAACTGAGAAGACGGACGGGAAAAAAAAAATTTGAATCAACGACGCAATTTCTCTTAGTTTCTCCACACATACACTGCATTGATTTGGGTTTCAGGCTTTCAGCCAAAAGGGTTGGGTGGGTCACCCGCATCATCAAAAGGCTGTAAAAATCCAATTTCAGTGTCATCGAAATTAGCGAGGTATTCATTTTTGTTGGTACGAAGTTGGGTTGTCGCCATATCTCTGTAAACATAAAATCAGTACAATTAGGGGCTATGTTTATTTTAAGAATCATGCTAATGGTACATCAAGATTTACATCGGGGTTTACACCTCTCTCACATGGGAGGTGGGGTCCACTCGAGTAAAAAAACATTATTTCAATGGGTCCCACCTCCCATGTGAGAGAGATGTATCCCTTGATGTACAAACTTTGATGTACAAGTGAAATTGTCCTTATTTTAATCACGCAATTTCTGGGTTATAAGCTTTACTTGGATAAAGCATTTCTTTTTCTTTCTTATTTTGGACTGGAGAAAAAGAGATTACAATGCAAAATCTTCAAATTATTGCAGTGTTCATTTACAAATTAATGATTAATTTCTTGAACACTTTGGCACTTTCACTTGCTAATCCAAATAATATTATATTAATAATCATGCCAATAAGTTCATAACTTTTCAATTGAACCGATTATTAATTCTATGTGAACAATTTTTTTAGAGCACTGCTTCTGAGTTTGTATTCAAGTTGAACACTTTGGCACTTTCATGTGCTATACAGTGTTTATGTAACTAAATTTTGCTGTGTTTCCACTTTCATATGCTTTTGGGCCTCTTGCTTTTGTGTTTAATTTCAATTATTATTAGTTTGTTAAATGAATAATAAAAAGTTGTATTGTTTATATATATATATATATATATATTTTGTAGGAACCAATGGAAGAAGAAGATTCCTCAACAATATCTAAATTCCATGCTAGTCAACTAAAAGGAGATTCTGGTGATGTTGGTCGGGAAACCGCGATTTTGGTAGATCCTAAAAATCTTAATAATGTGAAATGCATGTTATGTGATAAGGTTACTAAGGGAGGAATTTATAGATATAAAATTCACATAGCGTGAATCAAGGGAAAATGTGTAGCATCATGTCCTAGAGCAAGTGAAGAACATAAAGCCAAATGTGCAGAGGCTATTCAAGGGAACAAGTTAAAAAAAATAGAGAAGCTAGTGAATGATGCTAGGTTGAGGGAAGATGTGGGTATATCTTTGCCTACAATAGATGAGGAGCTAGAGGAGGAAGAAGATAATGAAATTTCGATTATTGAAAGGAGGACTAGGAAAAGGCCTAGTAATGTGGGACCCATAGATCAATTTGCAAGGTCCGTTAAAAGGAAGGTTCATTTGGAAAAAAAGCTAGCAATAAGTGGATGTGAGAACAATGATGCAAACTACAATCCTGGTAAGTTCTATACCTAACTTTATCTCTTCATTGATTTTCTACATCTTGGAGTATAACTTGTTCAATGAATTAATTTATACCCTGTTGCACTGGAATTTGAATTATACCTTGTAACATGTTTCTCTTTCATTTATATTTATTAGTGAGTTTGTGGAATTTCTAAGGCAATGAAACACCATATTTAAAGACAATGGCAAAAAGGATAGTTTGACTACTAGTTCATCAGGTTGTGAAAGAAATTGGAGTGCTTTTGAAGGGGTAAGTACTAATTATGCCAATGAATAATTATTTAAATATGCTTTTCCTTTTTTTTTTATAGATACACACCAAGAAAATGAATGGACTTGACACTACGAAGATGAACAATCTTGTTTATGTCCAATTTAATGCAAGGTTGATGAACAACAAGAAGAGGAATGCCAAAATAGAGGCTTTACTAGCAAATGATGCTACTAATGCATAATCTTGGATTGCAGAGGGTTGTGATGATGAGGGTGAGTAGGACAATGATAGGGTGGAGAATGATATCTTACAACCTCCAAGAGATACAATAAATGATCAAAATGAAATAAGGGAGCCCGATAATGATGATTTTGTGTCGAACGATACGGAGGACAAATTAGATGAAGAAGAAGATATCGAATTGGAGTCCAATAAAGAGTTAGATTAGATAAGATTTAATTTACAAGTTATCTACGTTATGTAATTATGATTTTGAAACTTATCTTTATGTAGGAATTATTAAGTAAATACAACATTTTATAATTTTAGATATTTGATATGTATTATTTGAATTATTGAATTTTTTTTACAATGATTAAAAGATCAAAATAAAATTTAAAATAAAAAAAAAACACTTTTTTAAGCCTAAGTTTCGTCTAGGCCTGTAAAGCTTGAAGCTTGGCCTCCACGCCTAACCACGTTTTACGCTTTTTAGAATACTGTGAGAAACAAATTACATATGATTGAAATTTAAGTGAATGTAAGTAATAACAAAATATGAATATTGTTATTGCGAATAGACCACTGTGTTGCGTTTCTAACTTGTGAAGTGAGTAGCTGATCTCACAAGCTAACATGAAAGAATGCATGGTTCCACATATATAATAAACTGATTAGAAGAGCAAGAGTATTTGCGTACATGGATTGCGGTACAGACTCACTTGGGACGTGACAGCTACTTAATACTTGATAACTCTTGAGTACACACCAACTCCACTTAAATCTATTAAGACCATTGTTTTCCTTGGAGATACGAATTCATAATTACTAATAATGCATACTAGTCGAGCTTGATGACCATAATACCTATGCAGAAGCTAAGTAAAATGTTGACTCAGGGATGGCAAAAAACCGTGGAATACATTATGATCTCCATGTCTTAAAATAAAGTTTAGACTTTGTTGAATTATCCATGGATGGGATGTAACATTTGATTAGAACAAACCGGGAATGCTTTAAATGTAAAAAGGTCGACATGGATGGTAATGTAGATAGAGTGGTAGCTCTATTACTATAACTAAAGACAGAGTTGAGTTTGATATTAGCTACGTTCGAATTCTGCTTGTTGTAGCAGCACACGTGAATGCGGTATGCAATCTATAGAAATCCATTTATGGACTAAAGTAATCCTCTGGGAGCTGGACCATATGTTTTGATGAGATAAAAGGTTTATTTTTTTCAAAATGATGATGATCCACAAGTAAGTATATTTGTATTTTTGATACGATATGTGGTCGACATATTATTGATCAAGTCATATTCCCAAACCACAATCAGTTAAAGTACAATTATCTAAAGTTCCTCCATTGTGGATCGAAATTACTACCAGTATTCTCGAAACAAATATCTAGATAGAGAGAGAGAGAGAGAGAGAGAGAGAGAGAGAGAGCTAGAAGTTTATTCGGTTGTCTCAATCCACGTACATAAATGAGATGCTAACAAGGACTAGCATGGAAGAATCTAAAGTAGGATTCGGATATGTGTGGATAAGAGCCCTTATGTTACGACTCTCGATTCAATAATAAGATAGCAATCTCGACGAGGAATTCATTAGTGGTTCCTATCATTGTAGCTCTAGTAATAACATATTGTGACAACAATGAAACCATCGTGCAGGCAAAGGAACATGAGTATGTATTGAGGCTCTACTATCTTATTGAAAGACTGTAGGGAAAAAAAAAAAAAACTGTTGCACGCTTACCTTGAGAAGAAGAAACTGAAGGAAACCAAAACAGTAAGTTGTAGTTCCAAAATGTTTAATAGGTTTGCAATGTTCCATTCTACACAAGTGTTATAAATAAAGTAAACAAATACGACCAAAAAACAGTAGAAAGCTATACTCATTAAACAAACGCTAAATCTGTCCGGGTTAACCAGAATACGTTAAAAAAAAGTCACTCGATGAGTAATTAACTTGAGCAAATTCTATTGTACTTGTTTACTATTTGTAACATATATATTGGCCGTTGCAAAGAAAACAGGAAAGACGAATTTAGGTGAAAAGAAAAAATCATATTCTCAGGCAGATACTGCAAATATAAAAATTAAAACGAAACAATCTAAGCCAAAATTTTGATCTCCGCTCATGTCAAAATGCAAAAACAGAAACAGCGTTGTGGCCACTGTACAAACAAATTCATGACTTTAAAACACTTCTGAATTGCAAGACCATTTAACTATTTGGTACATATACCAGGAGACTGGGCATTATAAAGTCGTCCAAAACTTCGGAATGGAAACCTTTTGATTTGAGATCTCTTTTCATTCGGTGAAATTCAACCCTCACTTAACGCTCACACAACTGGAACCTTTTTCCCATCCTCAATGAAGAAAATTGCAGCCTCTGGAACCTAAAAACCCAGAAAAGAATTAGACTTCAGTTCATTCCACAACTGGACTAAATCCAAAAGAAAACATGCATTAAATATACCATAATTAAATAATACATTAGAAAAAATGCAGCTGGTACATATTTAGGTCTCCTTATTAAGTCCTTGTTTGAGCCCCATTTTTTGAGGGGACGAAAAAATGCATTCTTGAATAGTATCTTGATCTATTTCAGCCACATATTCTTCAATAAAACAATATTATACGCAAACCCGAATTTTTTCCTTATTTTTTAAGTACACATTTCCCATCAATACACTATTCAAAAATGCCTTTTTTTTTTTTAACAAAAATAAGGCTCAAACAAGCCCTAATGTTATTCACAAACAGACACGAAGTCAAATGCAATAACAAGCATAAAAACAGTCTTTCATTTAAAACCCATAAATTAATATAGGATACTGAACAGGTCCACCGAGCATCTGGATCTGAGTCTCAATATGTTCTCTGTTATAGGATTAAATAGCCGGTGAAGAATTCTACTAAGCATTCTAAGCAACAGATTTTAGTATGTAATCTCAAACCAACTATAACTGATGTTATCAATGTGGAAGAAGACGACACAAAGTACTACTAAAGATTCTGACTTTGACATGGCTAATTCCTCAGAATATGATGGTCATGAAATAACAGGACAGCATGTTTTAAGCTTCATTAAAACTTATGTACAAAATGCTTACCTATAAATAAACACCATTTATACATACAAACATATAAATGAATCACAGCTCTAGTAAAACCGTGTGGACATACAGAAACGCATGCCATTTTATCATCAGTTACTGTTGGCATTTGTGGTTCAAAATGAAAGCGGCCCAATATAACCAGTCCTAGATATGATCATTTAGCATTTCCCATTAAGCTCCTCCGCTCCTCCCTCAACGGAAAAAACGCTCCACTGCTGGTGTTGACAAGTCAAATTGATCTATTATGAGGGGGTAGGTTGAGATACTACCAGATGCAATTTAGCATTTGTTTAGTAAGAACTTTATAAACAGGGTAAATGTGTGGATAAAAAATGGTTTGACTTTTGACAAACGTTTATAAGCATGTTTATAAACACTTGCTAGACATATGCTTACTAGATTTATTACAGAACATTTGGCGAGTATCAAATTTGGTAAAAGTACAATTATTTAAGCTAGACTGATATGATGATCTAAACAAGCCAGTTTAGCTTCAACACAGCAATAACAATATGCAGGTTGGCAAAAAAGGGACGGATACAGCATATGTTTGCCTTTGTTAATTAGCATTTGTTGCACCTAAAACCCAAAAAAGATTTGTCTTCTACGATATTTTTACTCCATTATCAGCTAAAGTTCCACAATACGTAAAGCAATAGCCTAACTGCTCAGTGATCAGGGACGGATTTAGGGCGCCAAAAAATATAAAAAATAACAAAATTATGTAAAAAAAAAATCATGTGTAATTTTATTTTTTTTTTACGTATTAGCCCGACCTGTAATCCGGTCCTAGATCCGTCCCTGTTGGTGATCACTATTTAATTTGAAGAATGTGAAGCAAACAAAATGAAAAAGGAACATTAGACTAAAATTTGAAGAGACGAAGAAATGAGATCACATCAGGCCATGTATCTGTAATGAACTCCACAATGTCATAAGATATGTCTCCTTGAACATCAATTTGCTCCTTCTCAGTTGGGCCCTGCCAGGAATAATCCAGTAGAAGAGGAAAATTTTATTACAACTTTGGCAATTATTAGAATCTAAAAGTTTTAAACCAGCAATACAGCACACCTTTGTGACAGAAGCTCCAGTAGCAAACTTCTTGCCAAGCTTCTTTGATGCATCACTCAGCTTAACCCCTGAGGTTGAAACATAAGAAAACCTAGTCATGCTAACATTTGGGATGTGACGACTACATCAGAAACATAATATATGAAATTCAGAATCAGATGCAACATATTTCTTACCAAAAAGCTCTAGGCCTTTCACAGTGGTGATACATTTCCGCTTGTTTCGAGTCATCTTTTCAATAATAACTTCCTGTTTCTCCTGCAAAACAATTCATAATATATTTAGTGCTACCAGCTATTGTGCATATGGGTTAGCAATTGAAGAAGACAATACTATCACAACATTATCACAATGAATGCTAAAGCGTGCTTATATATCATGATCTCAATTATTAATGAAAACCGAGAAAATGCTAACATTTTAACAAAACCTTGCAGTTGGGTCTGTCCTTTATTACCCCCCCACTTATTAAGGTAAAAGCATGTCTGATTGTCTTATTGGGACCTTGAAGCTCAGGAGCTGATCCATATCCTTCATATATCCCTGCGGAAAAGTCGAAAACTAAATGTGGTGCTTCCACAACAACAATGGGCACTGGGCAGCTACTGGCCCACTAACCTTCGAGAAGGAATTTAGATGAACTTATCACCTAGGCATTGATTTTTCCATGTGACACTTGAATTTACCAACTTGACCGTGCTCCCTTCAATGCAATGGGAAGACAGCCCCCTATATTCAAGATCAACTCGAAAAACCACCATCTAGAAGCTTTCCCATGGGTCTTAACATGTCTAATGACTCAGAATAAAGGCACAGATCAGGATACACTTGAATATAACAATTTGCCCATGCTTTCTTCAATGCACAAGTAGGACAGTCCCCTAATAATCAAGCTCAAAGCAGAAATACCACCATCTAGAAGATTTCCCATTGGATAAGGAAACATGTCCATGGCTCGGAGTAAAGGCACAGGCCAGCAAAGGTCTCTGAAGCTTAGTAGAAAGCTAAACTCATAAATCCCAATGGATAACATCAAATTTGTTTCAAGTGAAACTTTTTCACAACTATAAATTACCAGCCTCTAAATTTCAAACTTCGATAAAAAAATTTTACTGAATCGAGAAATTGAAATAGTTGATTGTAGTATAAAAAACTAGAAGACTATAAGTTATTGACTAGAACTAGCGAGGCTGAAGCGAATAAATTATTCCATTTCAATGTATTCAATCACATCAGAGTTCTAAAGATAAAAATGGCAGAATAGCACAAAACAATCTGTCAAACAGATATTTTATTCTTTCAAGTGCATGTCTCGTACAATTTCGCGGTTGTGCATTAAGTAACTTATTGTAGAGAATAAGTAATTTTATTCTTTTAAAAAATATTCAGAACTGTAGGATAATAAACTCTCAAGTATAGATTGGAATTTTCAAAAATCGCAATTAAAAATCACCCAAAACCAAACCCTCCATGAAATCCCAAAACCAGTACTATAGAAACACCATAACCAATACCCAAAACTCCAGAGCAGGCACTAAAGGTACAAAAACAGATTCTCAAGAAATCTCACCTTCTTTTTAATCTTTCCACCGGGTAGACGTTTTACATCTTCCTCCTTAGGTTTAGAAGAACCTGACGCAAAAAAATGGAGAAATAAACCAAAAGAGATGGTCACTTGAGTTTTAACATGGAAATAGAAGCATAAGTTAGCCAGAATCCCAAGATGGTATATAATGCTGATTTCTTTCAAAACATAATTTATTTGTCCGTGAACTCTACAGCCCCGATTAACTATACCAAATGCAAGCATATCACGAGTGGATCAAAAATCTAAAGGAACTGCTTTTCAATATAATTCAATCTATTTCCCCCTTTCTCAAAAACATTAGAAATCAGAACAAATTTCTTATCGACAACACGGCATAAAGAAATTTTTTTAAAAAAAGCACTTAGATGTATTTTACATACGTTTGTGCATATTTATGCGTGTTTAGGTATGCATATATTACCGCCAGAGATCGAGGTAGACTGGAGGTGATCAGATACTTTATCAGCGTCTTTCGCATCAGCCTCTGAAAATCAATCAACAATATATATAGAATAACGAATCAGAAACGCCTTGTGTATACAAAATGGATGGGGTTAGGGTTTGGCCTTTCGGGTAACCTTTGAGGAGATCCGGGTACAGAGTCGGTGCGTTCTGGATCAACCATGGTTTGCACTTCTCAAAATCGGGTCCAAACTCGCAGTACTCCGCGGGTAACCCACACACTCCGCAGTATAAAACACGAACAGGCTGAGGCTTCTCCGCCATTAGCTATGAACTCACTCACTCGCACTGTGTGTTTGTGGGCAGCTTATGAAGAGCTTACAATGAAAATGTCGAATAAAGTGAGAGACGCAAAAAGAATGAAAAGAAGGGATTATTCTTCTTAAAATTATACTTTTCTTCTTAAGTGGGAGTGGGGAAAAATCGTGAAACTGGATTACTATCCGACAAGGCTCGTCCATTCGACCTTTTTCAGAAAAGAATATTTTTTTTATTAATAAGAACTTCTTTTAATTCTAGTATAAAATTAGGATAAAATTATTTGTACATAATTTTCTTTACCAAAAATGTTACACCGTCTCATAAATGTGCGGGGCCGCGTGAATAAAAACTCTAAAAAATGTGGTCTTCACACCCTATTGTGAGTGTAGGTAAAATATTATGTAAAAAAAAATTATGTACATGTAGCACTACCGTAAAATTAATGGGTAATTATATTTACATTACAATTTTTATTTCTTAAACCACATTTTAATTATATTTAATTTTTTTAATCTTTATTCATTATAGCACTTATATTATTAACCATTTTTCATGTCATTTTCATTCTCAACACTTTCGTTAATTAACATATTTTATATTTTATATTTTGTAACAATTTTATATTAAAAAATCCGTTAAAATGACGTAAAATAACTTATTTTTCCATCATATTTTTAGAAAATAAATAAAAAATGAAAAAAAATATTTCTCATTTCAAAGTAAGAAAACAAAATATTTTGATATAAATTATCATCAAAGACATGATATACTAATTAATTGAAGGTTAAAGATAAGAATTTGACGAAAGAAATTAAATAAATAATTGTTACAATAAAAAAAGATTGAGGAGTTTAATTACAATTAAAACGTGGTATATCAAATAAAAATTGTGCTGGCAATATTTAAATTGATATTTTCAAAATTACTTTTGTATTTTCATTTACATATTGATAGATTTAGATTCAAATTTTGCTTCAATGAGAAGATCTAAATTTATTTTTTGGCTTTTGTGAATGTAAAAAAAGTTTATGCCGAAAAATATAATTTGGATTTCATTTGCATCTTTCAATTGGAGAGGTTTTCGACCACTTTGGATATGTAAATCACAATTTAAATTTATTTTACACCACGATTAAAAATGATCTAACAATATTATGACAACGAGTTTTGTGGAGCAAGACTTGCTTAAACTAGATTATATGTGGGGGTGAGAAAAAAAAAATCTTAAACTAGATTACTATCGGACAAGACTTGCATTTTTAGAGAAGAAAATATTTTTAACTAATAATTATGAAAATGAGAAATTATGGGGGATTTTTCGAAAAAAAGAAAGATAAATAGGCAAAATAGGGAGCATTATTAGAACGTATATATAAAAAAATTCTCTAAATTTAAAAATGTTCTCTATTATATATAAGATGTTCTTATATATAACAAATTTCTTAAAAATACTTTAAGTCACTCGATCTGGATTAGTATCGAACAAGACTAGTCAATTTTACATTTGG